TAGGAATGTATGCTAAAGATTATACATCAGGTATGTATGTTATAGATTATACATCAGGTATGTATGTTATAGATTATACATCAGGTATGTGTGTTATAGATTATACATCAGGTATGTGTGTTATAGATTATACATCAGGTATGTGTGTTATAGATTATACATCAGGTATGTATGTTATAGATTATACATCAGGTATGTATGTTATAGATTATACATCAGGTATGTGTGTTATAGATTATACATCAGGTATGTGTGTTATAGATTATACATCAGGAATGTATGCTAAAGATTATACATCAGGTATGTGTGTTATAGATTATACATCAGGTATGTGTGTTATAGATTATACATCAGGTATGTATGATATAGATTATACATCAGGTATGTGTGTTATAGATTATACATCAGGTATGTGTGCTATAGATTATACATCAGGTATGTATGTTATAGATTATACATCAGGTATGTGTGTTATAGATTTTACATCAGGTATGTGTGTTATAGATTATACATCAGGTATGTGTGCTATAGATTATGCATCAGGTCTGTATGCTATAGATTATACATCAGGTATGTGTGTTATAGATTATACATCAGGTATGTGTGCTATAGATTATACATCAGGTATGTATGTTATAGATTATACATCAGGTATGTGTGTTATAGATTATACATCAGGTCTGTATGCTATAGATTATACATCAGGTATGTACAGTGGGGAAAAAAAGTATTTAGTCAGCCACCAATTGTGCAAGTTCTCCCACTTAAAAAGATGAGAGAGGCCTGTAATTTTCATCATAGGTTCACGTCAACTATGACAGACAAAATGAGAAAAAAAATTCCAGAAAATTACAGGCCTCTCTCATATTTTTAAGTGGGAGAACTTGCACAATTGGTGGCTGACTAAATACTTTTTTCCCCCACTGTATAAATATTAGAAAATAGCCCAGTGTAGCTCAGTTGGTAGAGCATGTGGATTCGTTTCCCACGGGGGGCCAGTATGAAAAATGTATGAAAATGTATGCACTCACTAACTGTAAGTCGCTCTGGATAAGAGCGTCTGCTAAATGACTAAAATGTAAAAAATGTCAAATATAAATAAGGACGTGGATCAATGTGTTGGTGATAGTAAATGACGCAATTGAGCAAATTGAGGAGACTAAACTGCTTGGGGTAACCCTGGATTGTAAACTGTCATGGTCAAAACATGTTGATGCAAAGGTTGCTAAAATATGGAGGAGTTTGTCTGTAATAATGTGCTACTCTGCTTTCTTGACATCGCAATCAATGAAACAAGTCCTACAGGCCTTAGTTTTATCACACCTGGACTACTGCCCAGTTATATGGTCAAGTTCCATAAAGACGAACATCGGTAAATTACAGTTGGACCAGAACAGAGCAGAACGGCTGCCCCTTAAATGTACACAGAGAGCTAATATCAATAACATGCATGTCAATCTTTCCTGGCTCCAAGTAGAGGAGAGATTGACTGCATCACTACTTGTCCTTGTGAGAGGTATTGATGTGTTGAAAACACCAAACTGTCTAAAACAACACCTCACAGCACAACACAGACTGTGAATACACCCACACATGATAATATTGTGTTGTTGTAATATTGTTCACTAGCGCCACCCCGCCCTACAGGTGGTAAATCATTGGATCTGATTCATTTGATTCAATGCAATTCAACCTTTGAGGACTACAACCATAGAAATACAATGTATTTATGCCTATTAATAAACCATTGTCAACTTCCTGTCTATGGTTATTTTGCTCACTGTCATCCTACGTTCACATATTGATTTCATACAGAAAAATGCAACTGGGGCTCATTTAGAATCCACCGGTGGTACCTTGTGAGGCCATAACAGTCTATGTGCGACCGGGCACAGAAAAAAATCATTTGCAATAGTTACTGGCCTGCCATGCACCATAGAAGGCCCTTCATCACTTAAGTGGTAATGCCAGAGAAGACAGTGTTTGGAGGATATATTGGCACATGCCAATATATCCTCCAAACACCGGCTTCGAGGGCATTATCACTTTTATACAATGGGTTACTAACATATTCAAATAATGATTGACATATTTTCATTAAAAACGTTATTTTGATGAATTTATTCATACTATTTCATCCTTCCACAAGATGTAGTCCGACACAAATCTAGGGTTGCTACCCAAGCCGGCTGGTCGTTCGTTCTATCGGTTTGGTTGCCAGAGACGCGACCCAGTCATTCAGTCTTTTTGTTCTGTATCTATGGACGCGACCCAGTCGTTCGTTCTAAATGTTCCATTGCCACACTGGTTGGCAACGTTCTTGTCCCTTGCTTGCTAACTAGCCAACTACGGCAAACTTACAGTCACGTCAAAAGGTGCAGCCTGAATAACAGCAAAGTAGCAGCATTTGCATTTGTTTAAGCGGTTTTCTAGTGACATTTATTTGGATACATCCATAACAATGAGCTAATGAGGCGTGATTTCGCCTGGCATAGACAATGTGCTCACATCAGGACACTGTTGTTCAGAGGAGCTAGCCAACAACACAGCTAACACAATCACTTCAAACTGAAGCTGGAAAGACTAAACTAGCTGCACCTCGTTTCGTTTGACCTTTTTTCTATTGACATTTCTTTGTATATATCCATAAAAATGATGCCAGCTGTTTCGTGATTTCGACTGGCTGAGAAACGCTGCCTCCATGCCTGTCTGTCTGCCTGTCTCGTCCCGACTCCCGACACGTTCATTACTATGGGACAGCTGGAGATCGAATTTGAATATTGAAACAATGTTGCAAATATCGGAGAGACAGACAGCAAGTTTATACAACTATCCACTGATGAAAACTAAATTTACATTTACGTCATTTAGCAGACGCTCTTATCCAGAGCGAGAGAGTTAGCACTGCGTTGTTGATAGAGCATGGCGTTTGCAACGCCAGGGTTGTGGGTTTGATTCCCACGGGGGGCCAGTATAAAAAAAAATACAAATAAAAATATGTATTCACTAACTGTAAGTCGCTCTGGATAAGAGCGTCTGCTAAAATGTAAATGTAAATTATTACTGAATGTAAGTACATTATTTACCTTCAGAGGTGAATGTATCAAACCAGTTGCCGTGATACGTTTTTTGTTGTTGTGCACTCTCCTCAAACAATAGCATGGTATTTTTTCACTGTAATAGCTACTGTAAATTGAACAGTGCAGTTAGATTAACAAGAATGTAAGCTTTCTGCCCATATAAGACATGTCTATGTCCTGGAAAGTTTGCTGTTACTTACAACAGTCATGCCAATCACATTAGCGCACGTTAGCTCAACCGTCCCGTATACGGGACACCGATCCCGTAGAGGTTAATGTCATCGATTTAGCCGGTAGTAACTTGTGGAATAGACACCGGCTGTTTCCCATGCTTGTTCAATGAACCATAAACAATTAATGAACATGCACCTGTGGAACGGTCGTTAAGACACTAACAGCTTACAGACGGTAGGCAATTAAGGTCACAGTTATGAAAACTTAGGACACTAAAGAGGCCTTTCTACTGACTCTGAAAAACACCAAAAGAAAGATGCCCAGGGTCCCTGCTCATCTGCGTGAATGTGCCTTAGGCATGCTGCAAGGAGGCATGAGGACTGCAGATGTGGCCAGGGCAATAAATTGCAATGTCCGTACTGTGAGACGCCTAAGACAGCGCTACAGGGAGACAGGACGGACAGCTGATCGTCCTCGCAGTGGCAGACCACGTGTAACAACACCTGCACAGGATCGGTACATCCGAACATCACACCTGCGGGACAGGTATAGGATGGCAACAACAACTGCCTGAGTTACACCAGGAACGCACAATCCCTCCATCAGTGCTCAGACTGTCCGCAATAGGCTGAGAGAGGCTGGACTGAGGGCTTGTAGGCCTGTTGTAAGGCAGATCCTCACCAGACATCACCAGCAACAACTTCGCCTATGGGCACAAACCCACCGTCGCTGGACCAGACAGGACTGGCAAAAAGTGCTCTTCACTGACGAGTCGCGGTTTTGTCTCACCAGGGGTGATGGTCGGATTCGCGTTTATCGTCGAAGAAATTAGCGTTATCCTGCAAGAAGGGAATGTCAGTGTTATGCCATGGCCAGCGAAGAGCCCGGATCTCAATCCCATTGAGCACGTCTGGGACCTGTTGGATCGGAGGGTGAGGGCTAGGGCCATTCCCCCCTGAAATGTCCGGAAACTTGCAGGTGCCTTGGTGGAAAAGTGGGGTAACATCTCACAGCAAGAACTGGCAAATCTGGTGCAGTCCATGAGGAGGAGATGCACTGCAGTACTTAATGCACCTGGTGGCCACACCAGATACTGACTGTTACTTTTGATTTTGACCCCCCATTTGTTCAGGGACACATTATTCAATTTCTGTTAATCACATGTCTGTGGAACTTGTTCAGTTTATGTCTCAGTTGTTGAATCTTGTTATGTTCATACAAATATTTACACATGTTAAGTTTGCTGAAAATAAACACAGTTGACAGTGAGAGGACGTTTCTTTTTTTGCTGAGTTTAATAGAGATTATTTACCGTTTATAATGGTTGGATCTTGAAATTATCCTATAAAAATTATACATTTAAACTAATAGCCTATCAATTTATATTCCTGTGTCTATTCTCTTCTTAAATTGTCGGTCTGTCAATGTTATAGCTATAAACGTTCATGAATGAATGATTTGCCGTTTGTGATGGTTGGAATCCAACCGTTGGATCAAGAAATGATTTTAGGCATATGCTGCAAACGAGCACAAACTAAGCCATAATGGTGCAATGCATCCGACTTGACGGTTGATGACTGAATGTGCCAATGTTTCAATGTATTTCTTGTATTTGTTAGGGACACAATGATTCAATATTTTTATTGTATCTGTCCCTAACATACTATTATTAACTCGACTGCCTAACATTTTTAGAACCAGTTTTAGTTAAAAGCCCATATTTTATTTAAGCAGACTTTAACATCTCTACACTACCAGGGAGAACCTGGAGGGGGCAAGTCGGTCAGGTAGGTTACACAGCCTTTCTAACGCTTCCTGCGGCCACCTCTCCTGCGATGCCAGGACACCCTGGGGCAGCGGTGCCTGCGAACAGGGCGGCTGGTGGATGTTCTGCATCGTCTGGGCATTGTGATTGATGACTTTTAGATGGGCCGGGATCCCTTTTATAGGTCTGGAGGGGGCAGGATTGACGTCATCGTGGGAAGAATGATGATGCAATAATTATGACAGTTTGAATTTTGAAAACTCCTGTCTTCAGTGATGTCATGGTAGTATTGGCAGGATGATGCAATACTAGGCATTCCAATCACAAAACCAGGAAACTAAACCAAAATACAGAACAAAACTGACTATAAAGTGGATAATACCATGTGGGAAGACGACGCATTTCTTTTGAGCCTAAAATGAAGGAAATTGGCCCCAAATTGTAGGAGGAGATCTTCCAGCAGCGTAGAATCCTTAGCGTATTATAATCTAGATGTTATACTGTACATGTGTAATGGTGGAGCAGTGTGAATGTGAATAGTGCACCATGTCTTGTATTGTCTTTTAGTTGGGTTGCCAACCTTTTTTCCCTTTTTCACATTTGAGAAATGTCACTCCCCCACCACCAGCTTGATTTTGTTTAATTTGAGGGACCTAGAAACATTGTTGTTTTGAAGCTAATTTCCTGCAATTCTCCATAGTTTAACAAGACTCAAGACATATTTTAGATATTTAATTATAATACTAATGGATGAGGAAAATAAAGTCTAGAACTGAAATGTTTTATTCTGATCATTTATATGAACCCTCAATGTAATTATCCATATTCTGTTTTACAGAAAGTGAATAGATCAATTGAAAGCAACAAAGTCACACGTATTAGATTACTTCCCAAGGAAAGTCCAATTTCTTTGAGCTTCTGAATGTCATAGCGACAAACCAAAGACATGCATCTGAGTCCGGTCTTTCTTCAACATTTTACCGCCTTTTTCTAACCTAAAGCATTGCAGATTTATGCGGTTTTAGATCAGTATAAAAAAAATCGTGAATTGTAAAAAATAAATATATATATATACACACACTGACTGTACAAAACATTAAGAACACCTGCTCTTTCCATGACAGACTGACCAGGTGAATCCAGGTGAAAGATATGATCCCTTATTGATGTCACTTGTTAAATCCACTACAATCAGTGTAGATGAAGGGGAGGAGACAGGTTAAAGAAGGATTTTTAAGCCTTGAGACAGTTGAGACATGGATTGTTTGTGTGCCATTCAGAGGGTGAATGGGCAAGACAAAATATTTACCTGCCTTTGAACGAGTTATGGTAGTAGGTGCCAGGCGCACCGGTTTGAGTGTGTCAAGAACTGCAATGCTGCTGGGTTTTTCACTCTCAACAGTTTCCTGTGTGTATCAAGAACGGTCCACCACCCAAATGACATCCAGCCAACTTGACACAACTGTGGGAAGCATTGGCATCAACATGGGTCAGCATCCATGTGGAATGCTTTCGACACCTTGTAGAGTCCATGCCCCGACAAATTGATGCTGTTCTGAAGACAAAAGGGGGTGCAACTCAATATTAGGAAGGTGTTCCTAATGCTTTGTACACTCAAGTGTATATATATTTCTATATTCCTGTATTTGCTGTGCTGTGCTGTGTCGCTGTGTTACCTTGGTTGCTGTGTTGGTCCAGGGGGCTCTGTGGAGGACCCATTCCGCTGTGTAGCGCCCTCATCCCAACTCCCTTCATCTGGCCATAGTTCGTCTCATCTCCCGTCCCCTTCTCATCAACCCCCTCCATTGGCTGGAAACACATTCACATCAACCGGGGATACTGTGGCTCACCTTTAGTCAAGTGCATAACGCACATATCATTCAATTACATATAGTCATTCAATAGGATCTATGTGGCATATTTGATATACTGTAGCATACAGCCACCACAGCATTGTTGAGGGTTACCTGGTGCATGGGGTGCATGGTGTCCTGAAGGTAGTCCCCAGCCCCCTGCCCCTGTAGGCTGGGGGGTCCGGAGCCAGGGGAGGGGCCTGGTCCTGGGGACCGGCCAGGGCATGGAGAGGGACCCGGGTGGGACTGGGACATACCACCCGCCTGCTCCGTAGGGGTGGACATCTACAGATCTACTGGCTGGCTGTCTCTACTACACTGGAGAGTAGGAGGAACTTTAGTCTGATAAACTACGCATGGTTCTTACCTTCTGTAAGCTTGAGATATTTCAGACACTATTCATTATTGGTAACTGGGAATATACATCATATAATAGGCTATACATCAACATAGGTGACTACACGTCATAGGATGAGTATTTAGAATAAAATAAATGAGGTCAGTTTTAGATGATACGGCTAAACTGTGTGGGGCAATTCCACAGTAACAGAATGATGCTGAGACTCAGATGTTTCTCTTAAAAATGTATGTCAAACAAAAAACAATGATTGCAACGTTATACAAACCATACAACTCTATGCACAAGGATTACCTTCAACAATTTCCAATGTTAAAAGTTGTGCCATTATTCTGTTACCAAATGAAATGGAGCAAATGTACCTCAAAGACTGTTCAAGAACGTTGAAGAACATTTTAGGGAAATTAGTAGTTAAGTACAAACCGTAACGCAAGGTAGCAAACGTTTAATGGAACTGAACTGACCCCATGTAGTAGTTTGGGGTCAGACCAAGCCCCAGCCCAAAGTTCTTCAAGTAAATGTGTTTTCTGTAGGTCCTCTGTAGCTCAATTGGTAGAGCATGGCGCTTGTAACGCCAGGGTAGTGGGTTCGATCCCCGGGACCACCCATACGTAAAAATGTATGCACACGACTGTAAGTCGCTTTGGATAAAAGCGTCTGCTAAATGTCATATTATTTTTGTCAAACGTGCACTGGAAATGGTTAAAAGTTGTCCTTGTGCATACAGTTGTATGGTTTGTATAACTTTCAATCATTGGTTTTTGTTTACTGCATTGTGTTATCGTGGAATTTCCATGTGATAAAACCAAAGGGTTTGGAACAGCCGAAGCAGAGTAGAGGAGCGTCTACATGTCCTAACCTGACCTAACCTAACCTAACCCGACCCAACACGCCTCCTCCCAGCTGGCTGACCTGTCAACACGGGCCAAGTGGAAGCGTTTCAGAAATATCAAGGGAATGTGTATTTAGCTAAATATCTTTATTTGTTTTACTGTAGCTACGCATATTAGCCAAGTAACTGGATTATCGAATGTGTGAGCATTAATGCCGCCTAGTTTCGCCAATTTCAACCAAAATAGCTTTGTTTAGTAGCTTAGTGAAGCCAACCAAAGCACGTATACGTCTAAGTCACCCAAACAATGTAGAGGCTTTCCACAAGACAATGGAGAAGCTAACGGTATGTTTTTATCACATGCTGAACACGACGATGGTCGACTGAGCTGTCATTTCCTGACCAAAAATGTCATCTGAAAGCAGGCCTCAACTTCTGCAGGTCTGTCAACGCTGTTGCAACGTAGCTAGTTATTTAATTATTGTCAGTCATCTCGCTAAAAAGTGTCTATGAAAATAAGCGGATGCATGAAATGATGGCAAAGTGTTTGCGTTCTCGCTACGATGTATCAAATCGTCTACAGATGTTAGGCATCGTTTTTGGGAGAGACGAGCAGCGCTGATTGAATCATGCCTTCCCTGAATGGAACTGTTTCTCTGCTAAACTTCTAACATGGTGGTCGTTGCTATCAACCTAAATAAACCGTCAGTTTCGGGAAATAAAAGTTGACATGTGAAATGTGATCACGCAGAATAAATTACATTTATTAGGGATTAGGAAGCTGTTTTTTTTAAAACCCCAACTCATGATATAAAAACGGATAATTCAACAGAACGAATAGTTCCAATTGAACTACGATGGCTAACGGTAGTTAACAGTAGCTAGCTAAGTTAGCTAGCTAGCAAAAACACGCCACCAACTTCAAATCAAATGTACTGTATCCTACTAACAACAAGCTAGCTAGCAATGTAACGGTCCATAAACATTCGGTATAACTATTTGTCAAATACAATGAACTTAAACTCAATTTACCTTACGGTAGACTAAACGGAATTCAGTCTAATAAAAATAAAAGATATTGCTGCTTTAAAATATGACCCCAATCTATACGGTCCCGCTCCCTGTGTTTTGCTGACATCTTCAAGTTCAGTTTCTTTTGATTGGCCAATAGAGGAAATGCCACCAAACTGTAAAATGATTGGACGAAGAATACATCAATTATTACTTTCTCCGTTGTAGGGCGGGACTAATGTTCAGAAATCACTAAGAACTAAAAAAGTGTTTTCGTGCGTTATTACCGTGCCAGCCCCGACAAAGTTTCTAACGTGATGTTACAAAACATTTACATGCAAAACGAATACATCAAACAACGAAATTAAATGGAAAACGTGCTCCTCTCCAGCCACATCATTCCCTAGTCACACAGGCTGTGTAGGTTTGTCTTTTCCTTGACTTTGCAGAATGAGCTGTGCATGTAGCATTGCAAAAGCCCCTGATAATTATATTTAAGTCTTTACATCCTTCTGTTTGTGTTTGTAGTTGTAAGCCTACATATCCCAACATTCAAATATTTGATTGAGGAAATTAATGTGATAATGTGTCAACTGGTTAACATGCCAGAACAACGTCATAGTAGGCCTACTGTAAATTATCTGGTCATGTGTTAAATTAATAGAAAAACAGATCTGAGAGAATATCTAGAGCCAGGAGTTTTTCCTGACCACATGACCTGATGAGGGTTAACTCCTGGATAGAGGCCTGCTATAGAGAGCAAACCAGTCACTGTGTGTTGATGACATGTTGATGACCTGATTAGGGTTAACTCCTGGCCCTAAAATAGAGGTTGATAGATAGACCCATAGAGACAGCGAACCAGTGACCATCTAGATGAGCAAAGATTAGTTGGAAGTGAAATTACAGTATAGCTGCTCTACCACATAAAACCACTAGAGGGCAGCAGTGGCTAACATTTACCTGGAACTTCAGCCTCAAGAGTTTTATTTTGTATTTATTTTATTTAAACTTATTTAACTAGGCAAGTCAGTTAAGAATAATTTCGTATTTACAATGACAGCCTACCAAAAGGCAAAAGGCCTCCTGCGGAGACGGGGGCTGTGATTAAAAAAATTAATAAATATATATATTCTACATTTTTGTCATTTAGCAGACGCTTTTATCTAGAGCGACTTACAGTTAGTGAGTGCATAATTATAATTTTTTTCATACTGGTCCCCCGTGGGAATCAAACCCACAACCCTGGTGTTGCAAGCGCCATGCTCTACCTACTGAGCTACACGGGACTATATATATATATATATATATATATATATATATATATATATATATATATATATATATATATATATATATATATATATATTTGGTCCTATATAATATAGGACCAAAACACATCACAACAAAAGAGACACCACAACACTACATAAAGAGAGACCTAAGACAACAACATAGCATGGCAGCGACACGACAACACAACAAGGTAGCAACCCAACATGAAAACAACATGGTAGCAACACAACATGGCAGCAGCACAACATGGTAGCAGCACAAGACATGGTACAAACATTATTGGGCACAGACAATAGCACAAAGTGCAAGAGACAACAATACAATAGAGTTGGGCACACACTAGGGAATTTCCCCAATTACAACAAGTAGCCACAACACCATAAACAGCCTGTCAGTTAGTCCAGCTGCAGCCTCCTTTTTTTTTGTCATTTAGCAGGCGCTCTTATCCAGAGCGACTTACAGGAGCAATTAGGGCCTTGCTCAAGGGCACATCGACAGATTTTCACCTAGTCGGCTCGGGGATTAGAACCAGCGACCTTTCGGTTACTGGCACATCGCTCTTAACCACTAAGCTACCTGCCTCCTTAACTTCCTTCCCACCTGTGTCTCCCTCCCTCCCTCCCTTCCTCCCTCCCTCCCTCCCTACCTGCCTCCCTGCCTCCCTCCCTCCCTACCTGCCTCCCTCCCTACCTCCCTCCCTACCTGCCTCCCTGCCTCCCTGCCTCCCTCCCTCCCTCCCTCCCTCCCTCCCTCCCTCCCTCCCTACCTGCCTCCCTCCCTGCCTGCCTGCCTGCCTGCCTGCCTGCCTGCCTGCCTGCCTGCCTGCCTGCCTCCCTCCCTCCCTCCCTCCCTCCCTCCCTCCCTCCCTCCCTACCTGCCTGCCTCCCTCCCTCCCTTCCTCCCTCCCTCCCTCCCTACCTGCCTCCCTGCCTCCCTCCCTCCCTACCTGCCTCCCTCCCTACCTCCCTCCCTACCTGCCTCCCTCCCTACCTCCCTCCTTACCTGCCTCCCTCCCTCCCTGCCTCCCTCCCTCCCTCCCTCCCTACCTGCCTCCCTCCCTCCCTACCCCTCCCTCCCTCCCTCCCTACCTGCCTCCCTCCCTACCTCCCTCCTTACCTGCCTCCCTCCCTCCCTCCCTCCCTACCTGCCTCCCTCCCTCCCTACCTCCCTCCCTGCCTGCCTGCCTGCCTGCCTGCCTGCCTGCCTGCCTGCCTCCCTCCCTCCCTCCCTCCCTCCCTCCCTACAATTGAAGTCAGAAGTTTACATACACTTAGGCTGGAGTCATAAAACTAGTTTTTCAACCACTACACACATTTCTTGTTAACAAACTATAGTTTTGGCAAGTCGGTTAGGACATCTACTTTGTGCATGACAAAAGTAATTTTTCCAACAATTGTTTACAGACAGATTATTTCACTTATAATTCACTGTATCACAATTCCAGTGGGTCAGAAGTTTACATACACTAAGTTGACTGTGCCTTTAAACAGCTTGGAAAATTCCAGAACTTGATGTCATGGCTTTAGAAGCTTCTGATAGGCTAATTGACATCATTTGAGTCATTTGGAGGTGTTACTGTGGATGTATTTCAAGGTCTACCTTCAAACTCAGTGCCTTTTTGCTTGACATCATGGGAAAATCAAAAGAAATCAGCCAAGTCCTCAGAAAATAGTCTGGTTCATCCTTGGGAACAATTTCCAAACGCCTGAAGGTACCAAGTTCATTTGAACAAACAATAGTACGCAAGTATAAACACCATGGGACCACGCAGCCGTCATACCTCACAGG